TACAGTAGAGCGTCGTTTATCCGAAGGTCGGTTATCTGAAGGAATTCCAGTCGACAAATTTAAATTTTCGCCAGTGCTATGGTGCTGTAATCTTTGGCTATGTCTTCGGCTACTCAAATATTTTACGTTTTTGATACTAAATTAACTTCTGAAGTATAACTTTTTATTGTTTTTATATTTTTCAATATATTTATTTTGTTTCTACAAAATAAAAAAATAATTTTTAACAATACAATAGTCTTCGTTAGGCTTAACATCGACGAAAATTCAACGCAAAGCGACACGCAAAGGATAAAAATTTCAACACGGGATAAATTAATATATTTTTTCGTACATAATTGGTTATCCGAAAAATAAGTTATCTGAACAATCCCAGTCCCCAATTGATTCGGATAAACGACGCTCTACTGTAATTAAATAAAACATTTAGTTTATTTATTTATACAAATTAACCAAAAATTATTATATTTACAATAAATGTATTCAAAACTGTATTAGTGAACCTAGTAGAAAATAAAGTAAACACACAAAAATAAATTAGCATAAACACAGTTTCCTTATAATTTATCATTTATTATGAAATATACAGTGGTACCTCAGGATACGAACACCTCTGCATACAAAATTTTCAGGATACGACATGAAATTCGAACATATTTTTGCTCCACGATACAAACAAAAACTCACCATACGACGTTACATTAGTTTGCAGTGCCATTTTTTATTCACTTCTGTTCATCGGTCTCAGTCCGTGTGTTTGCTTTGTTGTGGAAGGATCTCACTCGATAAAGGAAATCTTGAGGTATTATCAGAAAATGACTGATTTTATTGAAAAGAAACATCCCAAAAAGGTTCACACTGGCCATATTGCTGCTCGGAGTAATGAGATATGCCTAAGTCATTTTAGAAACATTTTAAAAAGTAGGCAAAGCCAAACCTCTATGGATAGATATTTTACCAAGCAACCTCTATCCAGTGAAAGTGCTGGTGGAAGTGAAGGAAAGAAAGCAAAAAGCAGTGAATAAAAATTAAAAAAGAAAAAAAAGCTAAAACAATTAGTGCTGTTTTATAAGTTATTTTTAAGTTATTGTTACATTATGTTATGTAAGTTAAGTTTTTAGTATCATTTTCCTTCTCCCTCTCTTCCGCCAACAGTTTACACCTTCACCATCATCTATTCTCAAAGGTAAAGTGCAAATAAAACTACATTTTTTTTAATCAATAATTATTCTATTATGGTTATTTATAAATTTAGAACTGGCCGGGTGGCGCTGACTGTCGAGACTGTTGGCATGTTTTTTTGATGAAGTTTGTTAAACACTCTTAATCTATTATTCGTACGTAAATACTGTGAAGTCTGTATAAGTGTCTTAATGTGGAAAATAACAAGTTGTTTAGTGTTAAAATTAATTATTTGCCTTTTAATAATGGTGGGAATAGAACCTAATCCAGGTCCTTCCCCCATTCTCCTTAAGAAGTAGGCTGTTTTGATATGCAAAAGAGGGGGCGAGGTCGGCCTCGTAAAGATAATGCAAAAGAACTAAACGCAGAATACCCAGAGGAAGAATTATTGTGTGGAGAGTTTTTGCAGTTGGAGGAAGAATCTACTGGATACAACTCAGGAGCTTTGAAATCTTTGAAAATCTCGGAATACTTTGAACCTTCATCTCTTAAGGAACCTCAAGTAGAATCACACCCACAATATTCATTAAAATCAATTTATGATTTGTTACAGGCCAATTTCTCTCAGTTAAATCACGATATCCAAGGCATTAAGAACGAACTACAATGTATGAAAGAAGAGAATAAAAGATATCAAGAAGAAATACAGAATCTAACTCAAGAAATGAAAAAAACTAGATGTATTAGTTAAGCATAATAGCCATCTAAAAGGTACGTTAGAATTTGAACTAGATAAGTTGATTAATGAAAAAACAAAAAATATTATTATTATTACAAATTTCCCTTTCTCTAATACGGATTATATAAATGAAATTGATCAATTTATTAAAGAGATATTAGAAATAGAAAACTGTATCATAGAAAGGTTAATTAGACTAAATGACAACATTTCTAATCCAATGGTCAAACTAACAGTAGATTGTGAATACAGTAGAAATCATATTCTAAATAAATTTTGGAAATCAAGAGCTAATTTTAACAATGAGAGATATAGAAAGGTGATTTTTACCACTGATATATGTAGAAGATCTAGATTCAGACGAAAGAATTTATTGCCTATAATTAAACAGGAGAAAGTAAAAATAAAATAATCATCAGGGATGATTATTACATTTACGATAAGAAAATATTCACCTATGATATCAACCTAGATTCAGTTATTCAATTAGATAATTTTTTAGGATAAATTTGAATAAATTCTTAGAATTAAATAAGATAAATACAAAAAAAGCTTTATTCTATGACAATACTGCAAAAAAGACTTTTAATAATGAAGAT